CAGTTCCAAACGTCCGCCGCCCGCCCGGGTGAGACCCTGCGCAAGGGGAGGGCGCCCTGGGCTCCAGTGGAGTCGGAGAGACGCGGAGGAAGGTGGGGAGGAAGGTGGCGGGAGGGCCGCGGTGCCCCAGCCCCGCCCAAGAGGAGCGAAGGGTGTGCCGTCTGGTGGGCGCGCCTCTGCCCTCCAGGCAGGCTCCAGACCCGGACTGGTGCCCAGCGCGGCTGGGCCCAGAGGCAGGGCGCCCCTGGACCCCTTTGGGTCCCTGAGAGGCCGCAGAGGCGCGGCCGGCAGTGAGGGGGTCATGGCCAACCTGGCCAACCGCCTGGCTACGGAAGCGGACCGCTCCTGAGACTCGCACGATGCCGCCGGTGACAGGTGCCACCAAGGTCTCTCTCCGGGAGCTGGCCGATCTGGCCATCGGCACCCCGGAGGTGGGCGCCGTCAACTTCAATGCCCTTCACACGCTCATCGTAGCCATACTCAAGAACCTCCACCTGCAAGACACCCGGGTGGACTTCCAGACCCTGTCGCCTGAGCAGAGCCGCTCCTTTGAGTCCCCACGGGCCTCAATCAGTACCCCGCAGCTTGCTATGCGCAAGGAGAGGCGAAGGAGCAGCTTGGCCAGGATGCCCCCCCAGACGCTGGAGAGCCAGGTGAAGGACCTGGGCGGGCAGGTCCAGGACCTGGGCGGGCAGGTCCAGGACCTGGGCCGGCAGCTCAAGACCATGGATAACCAGGTGCAGGGCATCATGACCCACATCCAGTACTTCACTGGCCTGGTCGGTGGGCTGGACTTGGACAGTCCAGAGTGGCTAGGGGAGCAGGAGAAGGCCAGCGAGCTGCCCTTTGCCGAGGAGACGGCCATGCCCATCACCAAGATGACCACATCCATCAGCGAGATGGCCACACCTGTTACTGAGGTTGTCACGCCCCTTACTGAGAAGGCCACGCCCACTACCGAGAAAGCCATGCTCCAGATGACCAAGTCCGTTCCCCTGATGGCCAAGCCAATGCCCCAGATGACCAAAACGACGCCTGAGATGGCAAAGGCGACACCCGAGGTGATGGCCAAGGCAACGCCCAAGATGATGGCCAAAACAATGATGCCCCAGGTGGCCAAGGCTATGCCCGAGATGGCCAAGATGACGCCCGAGATGATGGCCAAGGTGATGCCCGAGATGATGGCCAAGATGACGCCTGAGATGATGGCCAAGATGACGCCCGAGATGATGGCCAAGGTGATGCCCGAGATGATGGCCAAGATGACGCCTGAGATGATGGCCAAGGTGATGCCCGAGATGGTCAAGGCAATGCCCGAGATGGCCAAGATGACCCCTGAGATGGCCAAGATGACGCCTGAGATGATGGCCAAGATGACGCCCGAGATGATGGCCAAGGTGATGCCCGAGATGATGGCCAAGATGACGCCTGAGATGATGGCCAAGGTGATGCCCGAGATGGTCAAGGCAATGCCCGAGATGGCCAAGATGACCCCTGAGATGGCCAAGATGACGCCCGAGATGATGGCCAAGATGACGCCCGAGATGATGGCCAAGGTGATGCCCGAGATGGTCAAGGCGATGCCCCAGATGGCCAAGGCGATGCCTGAGATGGCCAAGGCGATGCCCCAGATGGCCAAGGTGATGCCCGAGATGATGGCCAAGATGACACCCGAGATGATGGCCAAGATG